GTCAAGCCTCTTCGTACGCCAACGCAGCCGTTACCTATCGAATTTCTCATTTTTTTCCAAGCAACCTGTTGCAGTATGCAAAATTTTCTTTATACGAGGTCATTCGCCAGAAAAACTTCCTTTCCTAATATAATTGTCACATATAGATCTTTTTATCGATTACATCGATCAAATTTCGCCACCTTCACCGGAGGAGGGCCTTACCAACTGTGTTTCTGCACAAGGCACATTGGTACATGGCACGGGAGAGTGGGGTTATCAATGAGCAATTTTGGCTCGTGCAGTATCTTTTACTTATAAAGTATTGTACTCAAACTTTAACATTTTTTTCCCTTGTGTAAAAATTTGTGTTGAAGCGCTAATGAACGCTTTGCCTGGGCTGGGTAGGGCTAGGACCCCCTCACCCCACCCCCGCGCAAAAAGGTGTACATTGTACTATTCACAACGCTTACTAATGTTCGCAATGCAGCATAATGCACACTATTTTAGCGATGGCCACACACCGCAGCTTGTTATCATGCAACGCCCTCAGGTAATTTGTGAAATCTATTTTCACGTGAAAATACTCACAAAAATAGCTGAGGTCAGTACCGAAAAGAACCCTTAATAGCTGTATTTAGGCTCGAATTTCCCCTTAGGGCTACTGGTGTAATAGAGCTACCGAAACGCCAACTGCAGGTTTTTCCAGACCAAAATAATACTTGATTCTCTGATTTAAAAAAAAATTTACGATGTGTGTAAAAAAAACACAAATAAATAAATTTGAAAACATAAACAAAACGACGCTCTGCGAATGTGTCAGTTACGTAATACATTGGTCGTCCAAAGATATTGTTCCCCTGTCAATTTTTTCAGGGATTTGACTTTTTGCGAATTATCAGGAGCCCAAATTACTCATTGCATCAGGTGGGTGCATGACTATAAGACCACCTTGTTAGACTTTTCACGCGGGATTTCCAAACTGATTAAAGTTGAGAACCAGGTGACTTTCATGACCCATACCTCCTACA